TTCTTGAAACAAAGTTAGAGAGAAAGTTTCACTTGTTAGGGATGGTACTTTAGATGCCATTGGATTGCATCGTAATGGACCTACCAAAAGGCGATACAGTCATATAAGATGTGTGCACATTTATTTTTAAAGTTTTGATTCAGTTTGAAAACTGTAGTTCATCTTATCATTTTCTTTTTCAGAATCATTTAATGGGAATCATTCTTAAGACTTGTACCTCACTACCTCGTGGTAGGCTATTTGGTAAGCTCATTTTCTTTTCATAGGTCTTCTCCACAACAATTGTCAATTCTTCAACTTCTCACTTAAATAGTTGCATATAATCTCACACGTGATCATTTCTATCAGAATCTTTATCTCAGGAGATCAAAGCTAAAAGTTCAACCTAGAAGCCAGATGACACATTGTTGTTTTACAAATGGAAGACCTGCAAATTGCTTGAAGTTTGAGGATTGCAGTTGTGCTAGTTGATTTTCTCAAATACAGATGATTACTTTTATTTGTTTGTTTTTTCTTTATTTTATTTTTTTAATTCCTTGCCAATATATTCATGATCTGTGTGATCAATCCCTCTCTGAAGTGTTAATCATGTTTTGATTGTAGACAAGCTGAGAAGTTTCGAACCTAAGAGGAAGACACTATGTTCAACTACAAAAGCCAACACAACTTGCTGGCACTTTGGCCAGATTTACAATTTATATCAATTACACTTGCAGCAAATATTGCAAGTGTAATTATTGATAGTGGCAGTACGAAAAATGAATTTTTAGAAGAGGTGTCTGCATTGAATCAAAGAAGAAACGTTGGCAGTCAAGAATTGGAGGAGAACCTAGGAGTAATAGATATATGGAAGAATTGGAGGAGAACCTAGGAGTAATAGATATATGGAATATTAGATTGAATTACATAATTGTTACGTTGTGAACTCTAATATATTGATTTTTGTTTCTTTTTGTTGTATTGAATGTGTTGTTTTTTGTTGCATCCTGTTGTTTGTTGTTGCATTGTGTTGATTTTTGTTGCATTTTGTTACTTATTCTTGTTTTATTGTGGATCTTGATTTTTGTTGTTTATTTAGTTTTTATTTATCTTTGCTACTTCTTTGAAGTAACTTTTTTTTTTAAATTAAATCATCTAAAATAAAAAAAATTGAATTTATGAATATAAACCAAGCACGGAAAACATAAAGAAACAATAAAAAACAAAAATTTCAAAGTTATCAACAAAAAGAAACAATAGGCAACAAAAAGAAACAACAAAATTATATATAGTGTAATAGTATTGTTAAATATTGTAACTATTTAAAAAAATTGAATTATACGATCCATATTTAAAAAAAAATCAATGTTTAATTTTATTTTATTTTACACAGTTTTTTATTGTCGAGTTTTATACTTTTCATGATTTTTAGTTTAAGTAATTTTTTTTCTTTTTACTTTTTATTAAGAATAAGAATTTTCTATCTACAATTATTTTATAGCATTTAATATGATTTTTAAATTTTTCCCAATTTTATATATTTACAGTTTTCTATGTTTTTACATAAAGTATGTTAACTTTTTTAAAGAATACATTACAAGAAAAAATACTTTCTATTACGTAGTATTCTTTAAAAAATACTATACTTTTTAACTATTTAACTATTTAAAAATACTTTTTAACTATTTTGATTTTTTTGAATTTTTCCAATTTTGAGAATGTTTTATTCTTTAATTTGAGTTTGTTATTTGTTAGTCTTTTAGCAGTTTTTCTTCCATTATTTTCACCATTTTATTTATATTATTCTTTTTATGTAGTGGTGCACTTTCAACTAATAATTTGTCAACAAAGGATTTCTCAAGCCGATGACATCCGGCCACTATCTACGGAGTAACTTGCTAGCCCACACTTAAAAGGATCCGAGTTTCAAACGCGCGTGTGTTTACCGTTTTATACACATGGTCCGTTTATGAAAACAAAGTTTAACTGGTCTATTTATGAAAGAAAGTTGCGAACTGAAAAAAGGTGATAATATTTTAACTTTTAAGTCCAGTTGCGATAATTTCCCTATACTTTTCTGGTACAAATGTACACCGGCCCAACTAACTTTGCATGCACTTTACGTTTTTATTATTACTACTCTCTCCGTCTCTCCTATTTTATCTTGCACAACCTAAAAAAGAAAGTAAGAAAGGTAAAGAGAAAGTTCTCGAAATATGAATGAAACAGTTTGAAAATTCCAAAATAGGATTGTCATGTTTTTATTCCCAAAATAGGAGTAATTGCTGCCAAGTTTGGAAAATATTGTTATGTTTGAAGTTTGGTACTGCCAAAACATGACCGTAATTAGTCTTATTTTAGGAATAAAACCATAGCAGTCCTATTTTGGAATTTTCAAACCTTTTTAGTCCTATTTCGGGTAATATTCTCAAAGGTAAAATGTAATAGAACTATTAATTACCGTAAATGTACACGGGCCCATTTCAAGTGTTGTACAACTCATTGGAAAGCTTTTATCGAGTTCTAAAACTCCTATTTGAACTTTGTTTTGGTCTTGATGCTTTGCCATGCTTCAAGTCTTTTAAAACATAGTTTGTTTCTTTACATACGTTTTTTTATTTTGAAAGAAAACTAATACGGAGTAGGTATCAAGCCAAATATAGCGCTCACACATAGAAACAACAGCTCTAGCAAGACCATGAGTTACCTGATTCGCATTCCGCAAATCGCCTCACTTGAGAAAAAGAAATCCTAGAAAAACTATAAGAAATACCTATTATGTCTTATAAAGTGCTTTGTGATATTTTATGGTTCGATCAAACTCATTACTATAATACTATCTAGGGCTGCACATCGGGCGGGTTGGGTCGGGTTTGCTATATTTTTTGGGCCTACCCGATTTGGTCGGGTTGGCTATTAACCAACCCGCGGTACACAAAATAAGTAGGTAAACCATGCATGAACGGGTCGGGTAGGGTCGGGTATTGAACAAAAATCACTTCGGATTTCATCTTTCATGTGGGAAATTAATGTAACTAATTTAAAACTCGATTAACTTGTTTCCAAAACACACAAACAAACACAAGTACTCTTATCTCTTATAAGAAAAAACATTAGGTGATAGTATTAAAACATCATTCCTTAAAAGAAGTTCATTTAGAAGGAAACGTAAATATATAATAATAATCACCTAGTCAAAATGGTAAATGTTTAATTATAATTCTAATATCATAAAGTCCTAAATAGTTGAGCACATTGGTCTTAAATTCAAATTATCCAAGAAAACATTGTAGCATCATAATAGTAAAATGAACTTCGGCCGAGTCGAGTACTATCGGGTTTGAGATTTTAATTCCGCAACCCTACCCATTAGGTGCGGGTTCAAACATATTTAAAGGGTCAAATAGGTACATGAACTAACTTAAAGTGTTCAATTAGCCCCTTATATAGAAGGTTCTGCCCGGCCGTCGCCAATTGGGACGGTTCCCGGTAGAATTTTTTGATGAAAATTTTTGAGCATCTTCTTTATTAAGTCTAGTTTACCCATACCAAATTTCAGCTAAAAATTCAACCGGGAAGACAGTCAAATGAGTTTTTGAAGATGACTGCGCAGTTAAACAGCACAGTACATTTCGGAAAATCATTTGACTGCCTTCCCGATTTTATTTTTAGCTGAAATTTGATATGGGTAAACTAGACTTAATGAAGAAGATGCTCAAAAAATTTCATCAAAAAATTCAACCGGGAACCGCACCAATTGGCGACGGCCGGGCAGAACCTCCTATATAAGGGGCTAATTGAACACTTTAAGTTAGTTCATGTACCTATTTGACCCTTTAGCCTATTTTTTAAAATCAAATACCCGATAAATAGGGTCGGGTAGGGTTGGGTCGGGCGGGTTATGCGGGTTCAGGTCATTCTTGTGCAGCCCTAATACTATCTATGAATTCAAATATCAAGAGAAATCACAATATTTACTTTAAGAAAAATTTAGTCAAAGTGGAAAGAAAATTATCAGTAGAAAATGTATGTTTCGGGACCCTACACTTGTATAATTTCTGGGATATATATGTAGGATATATGTTTTATTAAAAAAATAATAATAATACGGAGTATAAGACTAACAAAAAGAGAGAAAATATTACGGGGTATATTAAAACAAACAAAAATCTCCTTTTGTCATCTTCTCCAAAATCTCCTAATAAATACGGAGTAAGCCTCAAAAGACTACAATCTTGTTGCATCCAATACAACAACAACATCCAAGCCTTAGTCCCAAACGATATTGATGTCGACTAACAAGAAGTAAAAATTAATACCCCGTAACCCCGTAAACATTAGAACTGATACAAGTTCTAGACTGTAGATCGAACAGTAATAAAATTTTAGCAGAAAAATCACCTTACCAATTTTACCAGTTTCACTTCAATCATTCCATACTCTGTAATGTCAACTACACTAGCTTGGTAATATGACATTCCTTGAGCACTATTAAAGTACTGATAATATTCTCTCAACTAAACATCCCCTCAATGTCTTTCATACATCCAGTTGTTTAGATGTCCCAACCCAAAGAACATTCATATTTTGCATTTTAAAAATTTAGCAAAAATTGATATATAAAATCGAAGTATAAGGTATATACTTGTTCTTTTACCAGAAGTAAAAAATGAATTTACTGTGAACGTCATACAGAGAGTAGTCTCTGTAATACTTTTATTTGGGGGGGGGGGGGGGGGGAGGGGGGGGGTACTAGACTAGAGTGTTGACTTTTGACTAGAAAAGGCTAAGAAACTCCTTTTGTCAAAGTGAATGGTCAAATAGGTGTTTACTTCAGATGGCAGCAGAATATGGATGAATCCTCATATCTTAGGCATGGTGAGTGGCTAAACAACTTATTATGATGCTTCCTTTCATTGAGGAAACACACCCCTGATAAGATCATCCCCCAAACTACTTTTCAAATTCAAGAAAACATGCATTTTTGCTAAGACTAGTCATCTTAATACACCATACACAGCTGCAAACTAATCCACAGTAGTTATTTTGTAATATTCAAAGTGCATGAACCTTTCCACAGCTTTCAGTCAAAGGCTAAATCTCATCACAATCATGTTCACATGTAATATACTTTGATTTGACCATATTTGAACTTGAACAAAAGCAACAAAGCAAAAAGTCTTTTTTAATAATCTGTAACAGAAGATTAACTTATATGAGGATCAACTGGATCCAGAGAAATGAATCAACTCAATAAGCAAAAAAAGCTGGGATATTTACCACATGAACTGCTCATCCTCATCCTCAATAGGAGCAACATTAAGATCAAGCAGCTCGGGCTTTGCTGCTTCTTTAGTAACTTGAGTCCGATGACCATTTCCCTCGGCCCCACCGATAAAATGTGACCGTTTATGGCCACCTAAAGCTTGACCAGATTTGAAAACCCTGGGGCAAAATGGGCATTTGTGACCCTTTGTTTTGTTGCTGGTCTTAACCTTAGTTTCCATGTAGGAAGGTGAATCTAGGCTGTTCTCACCGGTTTCATATCTCGACCCCGTTGGTCTTTTATTATGGCATGGCCTGTGTCCACCAAGTGCCTGATAAGAGCTAAATACCTTCTTACAGTTTAAGCACTCATACTTCTTCTTTTTCTTCTTATTAGCATCTGAAAAACTAATCTTTATCTTCTTACCAGAACAGGATTTGTTTTGCACAGGGTCATAAGAACCATCTTGTGTTCTTTTGAATTCTTGCTTCCCAGAACTTGATTCCACTCTAAACTCATAATAGTCATTCTTTTCATAATAGCCTTTGATTCTTCTATCCATTTCAACACTATTCTTAGACTTGCAAGATTTGTAATCACTTTTTAGGAGTAACATATCAGAAGAAACGTCAGATCCGTCCTCATTATTTTCACCCAGAAAGTACATTGAGTCAGAACTCTGAGATTCTGCAATCTTTCTGCAGTTTTTGGGAGACTCGTCTATATTCTTCTTAGGAGTTTTAATGTCAATAGAAGATGATTTCATCTCTAAAACAACAGAATTGTTATCAGAAGAGTCCATGAGTGAATTACCAGTATTCCAATTCCCAGAATCCCTAGACAACATCATCAGACATTTGGCTACTTCTTCCTGATCTTGCTCAAAGACTTCGGAGGCAGATTCAGAACCAGATTTAACATCAGGGGAAGTAAATGAAGAATTATTGTGGGTGATTTTCTTGTACCTCCTGGGCCTGGTTGATGCTGATGTGTTGTTCATCACTGGGAAATGGTCCTCTCCTTCTGTATCAGAACTATTGCTATCAATAGTCCAGGAATGTTCATCCTTCAAGTTAAAACTCCCACCCCCCTTATCTTTATCAGAGTGACAAGCCATGTGACCACACAGAGCTTTGACTGACAGGAAAACTTTCCCACATTGCTTGCAGACCTTCTCCTGAGGCATAGGGAGGTTGGATGAGCCCACTGCCCTCCAAGTCTTCCTAGGGTTCTCCCTCAGGCCATAACTAGAACTCCCACCAAACTCAAATCTTGTTTCTTGATCTCCCATCTTCAAAGATTCCATCTTTTTCATCTGCTCATCTATTTCAGATGAAGTTGCAACCACATGAGACCTCATGTGACCCCCCAGAGACTTTCCACATGGATACCTCCTGTAACACAACTTGCACACGAACTTCAAATCTTGATCCTCACCCATTCCTGTAAACTCACAATCGATCAAACAACAAAATCGCAAAAATGAAACAGAAAATCAATGAGCAGTGGAACTGGAAGAGTTCAAACCATGCAAACTTTTCTGATCCAAGGAACACTACTCCAGATCAGAACAAAGTTTAAGGAACCAAGGAGAAGTGCTCAGATCAGATAAGTAGCATTTTAGGATGCCAAAGATCAGCTTTGAGTTCCGTATCTATGAAAACTTTCTTTTTTATTTTATTTTGAGTATTTATAGACTAAAAAGGGAGAATGGAAAAAGAGACGCCCGTCCCTTTGCTTCAATGCTAGAGAGTTTTGAAGAAACTTACAGGGTAAAAATCAGGGATTTGCCAAGATAGGCATAAAGATGGCCATGAACAAACAATAACAGAAAACCCAAAGGCTTAACCAAAAACCCCGAGTCTCTTTCCCCTCCCTGCTTTCTCTCTCTCTCCGTCTCTGGACGCACGTTTCTAGCTTTATGCTTATGTGTGGCACTGTGGCTTCTTTGGAATTTTCCCTCAACCGAATTTACATGGTCAACCCTCTAATTCATTCATTAATTATTTTTAACAGATCTTTTAAAGATTTTATTTAAGTTTAAACGTATCGATACACTTTTTTTTTGACAGTATAGATACATAAATTTTAGTCCGAGGGTCTTTGACATTAGACAAATAGTGATAACTGATAGTGGTTACGGTCTTACGGACTTATGGATGGTGTTAGACTCTTTTGACAAGTTAATACTATTAGTAATTTTTAAAATATGTTCGTTAATTGACTACTATTTGCTTCTTACTACATACTCCCTTCATCTCAAAATTATCTTCTAAAATATATTTGATACATGAATCAACATAGTGGGTATTGTTCTATAAAAAACATTGCGGGTATGGTATTGTGGGATTTGTGGAGAGTTATGCAGATTAGAGCGGAATGTGTAAGAATATGTTAGAATTGTCATAAACTAAAAAAAACGCCAAAAAGAAAAATAGAAGATTATTGAGAAAATGGTCAAATGAGGCCTTCTATTATTATGAAATCATCGATAAGATCATGTACTCAATAAAGTATCATATAAATACGTCTACTTATAAAAAGCAATCACATGAGTCCTAATGACTTGTTGACAACCTCATAATCCCGGTTTTAGCGTATATTTGGCTATCTTTTTAAAACAGATTATAAAGCTGATGTGAAATGTTTGGCCAAAATTGGCTTAAATACAAGACAAAAATGACACGTGAGCTAAAATCGGGATTAGGAGGTTGTCAACGGGTCGTTTTGACTCATTCGATTGTTTTTCATAAGTAGACGTATGTATATGATACTTTATTGAGTATATGATCTTATGTGACAATTCCGTAATAGTATAAGGTCTTATTTAATTATTTTCCCAAGATTATTTGAGAAGGACGTACGAAAAGAAAAATTTAAAAGATAATTCAGACATTCATGGAATAACTATATTAGAAACATCACATAATGTTAGTGACACATATAAAATTATTTATATATAGTAAATTTGTAAAGCATCAAGACTCACATGAAATTTTCTAAAAAGTGTTAAGAAATGCCCAATTTTATGGGGTCACCCCGAGTTATTAAGATGTGTCTACTCTAGGAGTAGGTTTGTCCTAATTATAATGTACAAGGCTTTTCTCAATCTAACCATTAGTTTTAGTCCAACAGTCCATTAGGTTAGTTTATTATCGAGCTCATTGCATCCATTAATTTAGGGGTGTACTTTATAAAGAATTAGTGACAAATTTTTAAAACGTCATAATTTTAAGAGTTTTGTTGGAGGTATTGGTCCTACCAAGGCCTCCCTTCCACTTTATTTGCTGAGGCTTGCACCCTATTGTTTTACTCCCACTTTGGTATCTCTACCTTGGTATTTTATCTGATCAATAAAGTATACCTATTTGAGTGGTCTGACTTTCCCACTTGGCTGGCCCATCCTTTCCTGTCTGCTGCATTACTTGTCTTGGTAACCCGTGAGGCCTCCTGTTTTGCTTCACCCGTGACTTCTTGTCTTGATATCACCCGTGACCCCTGCCAGCTTTCTATATGAAGCTTGTGCCTTCTCCCTTTGTTGAGCAGCCTGCGAGAAACACTTCTATTGAGAGCAGTGCTCTCCTTCTCTTTCCCTTTGTGTGAGAACTGAGAGGGACTTAGTGGTTGAGATAAAAACTTAGAGTTGTGCAAAGCCTCCCCTAAAGTGGTGTGTGAGAGTGTGTAGAAAGACCTGAGCCGGAGACGGAAGTATACGATCCTTACAGTGGTATCAGAGAGAGGTTCGCCGTCTGCCGCCGTCCGCCGCCGCCGTCCGCCGCCGCCATCGATTGGAGCTTGCTGGAGTTCCATAAGGCCTGGTTCTTCGCCGTTCGCTGCCCGGAGGTTGAAATAGACCCCTGACCGAAGCTTGAAACCCTCGCCGGAACCTGGAACCGCCGTCTCGCCGCCTGGAAGCTCGCCGGAAGTTGGAGCCCCGTCTCGCCGCCTGGAAGCTCGTCGCTTGTTGCAGAGGAGTCGCCGCCGGAGCTCTGTTCGTCGCCGGAGCAGAACGCTGGCTAGAGGGCCGGTAAATCGCCGGTCTTCCTTCGTCGGCCATCGTCGAAGGTTTGGATTCCATCTGCCCGGAATTCGCCGCCACAGAGGACCACCGTCGGAATCAGCCGCAGGACTCGCCGTTCACCGGTCCGTCACCTAAGAGCTCCGCCATCGAGGTCGCTACTCGTTTGGTGTGAGTCGTTGTTGTTCGCAGAAAGCCAGGAGCGGCAAGGAGGAAGAAGACTTCTTCCTTAATTCTGGTCCGCAGGACTTGCTAAAGGGGACTGGGCTGGCTGGGCGATTGGGCTTGTTCATTTGGGCCGCTGGAGCTGCTGGATTGCTGGACCAGGATTGGAGTTGGGTTGCTGTGCTGGAGCGGGTTTGCTGACCTGGACTGCTGAGGAGCTGGACCACCAGTCAACTGCCGGTCAACCGCCGCTGGTCAACGCCGGTCAACGCCGGTCAACGACAGTCAACGCCGGTCAACAGTCAGTCAACTTCTCCAGAAAAAATCCCATTTTTTTAAATTGGGTAGGTAAGGTCGAAACGCTCTCCTAGGGTTTCGCGAAGGTAAGTTTTCTGTTAACTTCCTATTTGTTATTTTCCGGTTTAAATTTAATTTAATTTTATTCCCCCTCCCCGCGGGCCGCCGGTTGATTTAATCCCGGCCGCCAACCCCCCAGGTACGTTTTCTAAACTCACTCCTTTGTGGTAGTTTGTTTTAGTTGATTAATTAAATTGCTTTGTGTTATTTAATTTTATTGTTATGCGTAGGGGTGGTTTATTGGGTGGTAGGGGTAGAATTAATTAATTTTAATTTTCTGCCCGGAATTGTTTAACTGTCAAAATGTCCATTTTTTGCTATGTGTTGCATGCTGCCCGGGGTTATTAAAGTGAATACTTTATAACCCGGTTGGATTATTTTTTTTCTGTCAATTCAGTCTGTTTAGCTTTGTGTTCCTTTTGTGGTTGATACCATGGCTGCAAATCAGTATGGTATGCTTCCATTTAATGGAAAAACAGATTTTGATATTTGGAAACAGAAAATAAAGTGTGTTTTAATACAGCAAAAAGTTTTCAGAGCTGTCACTGGTATTTTCCTAGAATCAGAAGATAAGGCTAAGCAAATTGAAATGAACGAAACTGCTTGTTCTACTATTTACTTGAATCTGTCTGATTCTGTGCTTAGGAAAGTAGGTATTCTTGAGTCTGCTAAGGAGTTGTGGGAGAAATTGGATAGTCTCTATACTGATACCTCTTTGCCCGGGAAGTTGTTCTTACTAGAGAAATTCTTTAGGTTTAGGCTTGACCTGACTAAGGATATAGATGAGAACCTGGATGTGTTTAATAAACTGATACAGAATATCAAACAGGCAGGTGATAAACACATAGATGATTACACTCCCATAGTATTACTTAATGCCATTCCCGACTCTTATAATGATGTTAAGTCCGCTATTAAGTATGGTAGGGATGAGATTTCGTTAGAAATTGTTGTGAATGGGTTAAGGAGTAAGGAATTAGACCTGAAGCATGCTAGGGGTAGTGTTAGTCAGTCCAGGGACTCCGGTGAGGCTATGTTTGTTAGGGGTAGATCTAAGGGTAGGTCTAAGAATCCTAAGCAAAATAGTCAGGGTAAGAACGCTAGTCAGCCTGGGAGAAAGAGGAGTAAATCTAGGAAGAGAGTGTGTTACAATTGTGGTAACGTTGGCCATTTCATTAAAGATTGCCCCCACCCTAAGAAGACCGAGCATGCTAGTGTAGCTGTTGATAAATGTGACCTTGGTGATATTTTGATGGTTTGTGACCATGTTAATTCTGTGAGAAATTCCCTGTCTGAGCATGAATGGTTGATTGACTCTGGTTGTACCTATCACATGTCCCCCTTTAGAGATTTATTTTCTACTTATGAATTATGTGATAGTGGCTACGTTTCCTTAGCTGATAATAAGAGATGCAATGTGCTTGGTGTTGGTGATATATGTCTGAAGTTTTCTTGTGGCTCTGTGTTTACCATTAAGAATGTGAGGCATGTCCCTGATTTGTGTCATAACTTGTTATCTGTTGCTGCTTTGGAGAGTAGTGGGTTACAGGGAAAATGGGGGAATGGTTGTATGAAAATCCTGAAGAACTCGCTTGTTCTGTTTAAAGCTGAGAAGGTGAATAACCTTTATGTGTGTCATGCTAAACCTTTTGCTGAATCTGTGAATGTTGTATGTTCTGATAAGACCTCTTTGTGGCATAATAGGCTAGGACATATGAGCAATAAGGGTTTAGATGTCATGCGTAGGGCTGATTATTTTGGTAAGGACTCTGTGACTTCTGTGCCTTTCTGTGAATCATGTGTGTTGGGCAAGCAGCATAGAGTCAGTTTCCCTCCTTCCTCTTACCCTAATCTGTCTAAGTGTTCGTCTGTGCTTGAATATGTTCATGCTGATGTTTGGGGTCCTGCCAGTGTTCCTACCCACGGGGGTAGGAAATATTTCCTTTCTATCATTGATGATTTCTCTAGGAAGGTGTGGGTTTGCCTTTTAGAACACAAGTCTGATGTGTTTGTAAGGTTTAGGGAGTGGAAAACCCTAGTTGAAAACCAAACTGGCAGGAAGGTTAAAACCCTTAGGACTGATAACGGGTTAGAGTTCTGTAATAAGGAGATGGATAAGCTGTGTGTGGATTGTGGGATAAAAAGGCACAAAACTGTGCCTTATACTCCCCAACAGAATGGGATATAGCAGAGAGAATGAATAGGTCTCTATTGGATAAGGTTAGAAGCATGTTAGCTACCTCTGGTTTGTCTAAGAAATTCTGGGGTGAAGCAGTCACTACTGCTGCCTATTTGGTTAATAGGTCCCCGTCTGTCCCTCTTGGTGGTAAGTGTCCTGAAACCGTCTTTACCGGTAAGCCTCTTGATCTGTCTAACCTTCGGGTGTTTGGTTGTGCTGCGTATGCACATCAACAGGGTG